TGGCAAGAAGCAGGAAAGAAGTTATTGGGAGTGGAAACTGTTTTTTCATGGAACATCAATGACTTTCTGGAACATTTTTGACTAAGGGGATTGTAAGGTAAGGGGATTGTAATAAAACTTTCCAAATAAAGCTTGAAGTGTAAACAAGCTGATATGAAGGCTGTAAAGGCTGTATGAAGTGTGTAAAGGCTGCACAAGTTGTATTTTGAGGGTGCACTGTAATGCACTGTAATGCCCCAGCAGAATTAGAGCTGTAACACTCTAAGGAATCAGTGGCCAGCTCTGTGTGTCATTCAGCATGTGACAGCGTGTGACAATCCACCCTGCATGGAAGGTTCTGCTCTGGTGCATTTACACAGGTGATGTAGTAAATTATGTGAACAGTGTTTCTCAGAATACCATTTGACAATTCTGCTTGAAGATAGTTGGCTAATTTGCACACAGAGCCAAGACTTGCTTTGAGTTTATTAATTTTTTCCTTTCTGTTAAGCTTCCAAGTTCATTTAGCAATGAGAGTTTATAGAAAAGGAGTGACATCCATGTACGGCTCCCTGCACTTTGCCATGCTCATTTCTCTAAACTTTGTGTGTGCCAGCTCAGGAGCAATAATATCAAGTGACTTCAAAGGACAACTGCTCCCAACAATCCACAATGGCTTGTATTTCAACTTGTTAACCAGCACAGCTCACCAGACCTGTTATTTCAAGGCCTCTGCTGCTCTTTTCATGCATTAAGCTACATTCCCAGCTCAGTGAAAATTAAAGAGGGGAGAAAAAATCCTGAAGTTGTGTAGAACTGGGAGGGAGGCTGATTTCTGCACACGTGTCTCCAGACATAGGAACACAGATTATTTTTAAAGTAAACCTGGGACGTATGTTTCATGCAAGGAGTTAATAATAAAGCTTAATGACATGTTTTCCTTTTCTCACACCCACCTACCTGCTTCCCTCCTTTGACTGTATCTTGTTTGAAACCTGGACCAGAGGTTCTTTGGAAAAAGATCTGTCACCATAAAACAACCAGACTGTGATTTGGCTGCCTACATGCTGCTTTGGAATCTATGGCAATAATTAATAGGTCATTCATTTTGCATGTCAGTGGTGTTCATTACAGTAAATGTATTTTCCTCCCCTCTTGAAGGCATCAAATGATATTCCCACAAAGTGCTCATTCAAACTGGCAGATCTCTTACACAGGCTAAGAACTAGAAATATATCAAATTCGACACAGAGTTTTCATTCTGATAATATTGCTTGATAGTGGGTTTTTGAAACAAGGTCAAGGCTAAGAGCTGTGCTGTTTGGCTTATTTTGAGTTTAATATAGGTGAGTGTAATTGATGCCAAAGAAGTTTCAGCTCCAGCCTCAGTTCCCACTTTCCAAACCTTCACTTAGACTGTGAGTGGGGCATATTTACAGCCTGAAGGAAGCTTTTACCAGCGTGCAAGTCAGCATAAAACAGTGTCCATTGCTGAAACGATCAGCTCCACCTTTCCAAGGGCCTTCAATTTCTCATTTTTACCACCCTACTTTGTCGTTGCCAAAAACATTTGTGTGACTGCGCATTGAGCCCCATCAGAGCCTCACCTGAATTAAAGTTCATCTTTTTTTTTCACTACCTGCTCCCATGAACTCCTGTATAGGCACAACAGAAAGTGCCATGTAGGGTCAGAAAAAACATGGCCAAGGGCAGCAAACGCACAGGACCTGTGTGTAGGAGTGCTTTGTAATTCTTGGTAAAAGGGTGCCTGAAACGAAGGCCTGATGGTACTGTGATTTATATCTCCTGGACAAAAGTTTTGATTTCTGGAGCTATTGTCTGAGAAAAGCCTGATGGCCTCAGTCCATGATGATTCCTTTGAGAAGCAGGCTGTTGAATAGATAGGGCAACCTGATACCATACACGATTTGTAGTGCTGTTAGGGTTTTTATTTAATTCATGGCTATCTATATCTGTCTTAGGAACAGAGAAAGATTAGGTTGGAATCGACTCTGAAAGACAGAAGAGAATGGTATTAAAATATCCCCAAGCCTGTGTTTGTTGGATCTCTCTTGGTGGTGCTGGAAGGTAGATTTTCTCTCATGGTGTTGGTCAGGGTTTTTTTTTCTGCTGCTATCTCCCTCTCCCATTCTGCCTGGACTGCAAAGGAGATAAAAATTCTGCCCTTCTACCTGTGGTTCTGAATCAGCTCTCCTAACCCTTGGCTATGTGCCCAGCAAAACCCCAGAGCCAAATTCCCTGACAAGCATCCTGTGGCTTGTCTCTATTATCTGAGTGAGGATATACAAGCCCAGAAGAAGGGAAGGGAGAAGTGCCTGGTCCAAGGCAAACAGTGATTTCCTCTTCTATACTAATGTTTTAATAATGATTTGAGAGAGATAGGGATTTGTGAGCATGTTGGAGTTCAATCTGTGAGCATCTTGCACTTGTAACTATTTGAACATCAAATAAATTTACCAGATTTCACCTGCAAGAACACACTCCAATAGGTGCCCCAAAGAATTCACTGTAGCTCCCACCCAACCCCTGAGACTGCAGTGCCACCTGCAGCGTTCTCAGCCCTGTCCTCACAGGGGTGCAGGGCCAGCAGCTCTGCAGGGCCATCATCTTAGCTGGGCTAAGGAGAAGCCCTTGAGAGCAAGCACCACACGGTGCCCACAAGCCTGGCCCTCAGCAGCCTAAAGCAAAACTGGGTTTGTCCTGATTTGATGGATTTTCCCATCCAAGGATGAGTAGGCAGACTCTGCTTTACAACTTGGACAACAATTCCCTGCCTGCCTTCCCCTCGTGCTGCACAGAGGAGCTGCCTGATGCCTGCTCTATCAGCAGCTCAGTGATGTGCAGCCTCTTGCAGCTCATTTCTACAGCTGCTCACTTTTTATTGGCTCAGTGTGGTAATGGAGAGCTTGCACAAAGCCAGCTGAGGTTTATTGCTCACATCAGTGCCTGGGGAAGCTGTGAGCAGGTCCTTGCACCACCCAGCCCTTACAGCAGTGGGGCTCCCCCACCCCAAGTTGTTCTTCAGCTCTGCTTCCACAAAAATCCAAATTCCTCACTCTGGACATGTGCTGATGCTTCCAAATGCCACTGCACTGCCCCTGCATGGCCAGAGCTGAGGACAGTGCACTGCTGCTTGTACCTGAGGGAGCCCCTTGTGCCATCAGAAAGTGAAGGGACGATGCCATCATCCCTTGGTGTATCTTTCTACTTGCTTTGCAACAGGGTAACACCACAGAATCTCAGTCCTGGCACGATTTTTAAATCACACTCAATTGGGAACACTTTTTTTAGCCTTATTAAGAGTTTTATTAGCTCTAAAAAATAGGTTCTTAAATATTTTCCAAGGTTGACTAAATATGAAAAACAATTATATAGTCAGTGTTTAAAATAAACCACAGTTTGTTACAACTGAGACCCATTCAGTGGAATAACATTTATCAAGAGTCATAGCATATAGAAAATTGTACAGCCTCTGCAAATCCACAGACAGTATTTCTCTGCTTGCTTTCAAACTGAGCAGCTCCTGAACCTAATTTTCTGATGTCCATCAGAATTCTTACCAACAAGAACACTGCAAGCATGGAATGCAGTCTTTGGGTGAGAAGGCTGCAAGGTTTTTAATGAAAATAAAGAACTGGTCTATTGGTGTACCCCCTTTTTTATATACCATTTCTTATTGTTAAATGAAAACTTTTATAAATAATCTTACATAAATAATAATCTCAGAAGTTTTAAAAAGTTCACACCATCAGTGGGACCTGACCCAACATTCTCTGGTCTCTCACCGCTTAAAGTAATTCTGCAATTATTCTGGAATACAAGAATCCTGGATGTCTCTTATTGCAAGAGCAGACCATATATTTTGGGCAAGAGTTAAGCTGCAGAGGAAGATTTGGCAGTTAGGTGAAATGCATGTTACAGCTGATGGCTGCTTTTTTGTTTTATTGGACTAACTGAAAAGATTAAGCTGTAGTGCAGGTAGGGCTTGAGTCATGCTTTTATCGTTGCATCTCTTGGCCTGATATGAACTGTGTTATTAAAAACGGTAGCTCAACCTGATTCTGTACTTTGGTTATCTACAACCAAGCTCAGCCAAAGATCAGCTAGCCTAGTGAAAAAATGTAGTTGAAGGCTGTGTACATACAGGCACTGCTAATTGCCTTCCATGACTGTCAAACGACTACAGATACAAACAGATTTCTTAGTATGCCTTTAAACAAAGCACTCTTATCTATGCATAAGGAAAAGCACTAGCAGAGCAGAGTTAATACATGTTAACCTACATCTTGATTTAGTCTGTTGTTCAGAAAAAGAAAAAAAGGAAGTGATTTATCACCCCTTTTCGTTGCCAAAAGGAACTGCAGTACCGTCCAAAAGCTGGCGCCCTGGGAGATCCCAGTGTCAGTAGGACCGACGCCTCTTTCCCTCCGTAGTGTTTAAATGATCAGCAGCTTTGGTGTAGCGACTTTTTGCCTGTAAAGGAGCCGAGTGCATTTGTGACGGCCATAGAGCCCAGTATAACCCACCACGAGGCTCCATGTGAGTCTGCAATGCCGAGAACCTGTCCGGGAGATGCTGATCCCCGCTCGGGAGCGCGTCCCGGCCCTTTGCTCGGGAAGGGCTCACCCGGAGCAGCGCTGGGCTACAGCGGGCAGATCGCGGGCAGCCGGAGGACTAAAAGGCCCTGCAAGATAAGCTTCGGAGGGAAGCAAGCGGCAGGGTTTAAGGAACGAGCAACCCCAGACGTGAATGAAACACAAACACGCTGTGGGTTTTCTCTTCCTTAGATAAAAGCACCGGCGAGCCAGCCTAAATGCTGCCCGCGGACGACTAGTCAGAACAAGTTCAAACTGCAGAGCTCAAATTAAAAGGTTTCCTCTGTGTGACTGCCTCCCGCGCCGGGAGGTTCCCCACCTGCCCCACACTTGCCCGCAGTCCTCCGCCGCCCTCTGCCCCGGCACCCCGCCCGGGGTGGCTGCGGCGGGGCGGCCGGCCGGGCGCTACACGAGGGACTCGCACACGGGCAGCGAGTCCGAGTCCTGGCTGTGCATGGAGCTCAGCCCCGTGTCCGAGTCCTCGTCGTTGTCGGCGCGGTCCTTGCGCAGCGCCCGCGCCTGCTCCACCCAGCCGCCCCCCGCCGCCGCCGGCCGCCCCCCGCCCGCCGCCCCGCGCGGCTCCGCCGCCGCCTCCGCCACGTCCAGCGTGCCCAGCGTCTCCAGCAGCCGCTGCAGCTCCCGCTCCTTGTCCTCCCACGCCCGCTGCGTGCAGTCCAGGTCGCTCTTGACGGCCTCCAGGTCCGTGCTCAGCTTGAGGCCGATGTAGAGGCTGGTGCTCAGCTGGGTCTTGACCCGCTCGTGCTCCAGGTGCAGCTCGCCCTCGCCGCCGCTCAGCTCCGTGGTGTCGCAGTCCGTGTCGGCCAGCCCGGGCCCCGCTGCCAGCTCCAGCTCCTCCCGCCGCCTCTTCATCCAGCGCTCGTTGAGCTCCTCCTGGATCTCGGCGGCCAGGTGCTCCAGCAGCTCCTCCTGCTGCGCCCGTTGCTCCTGCAGCTGCAGCACCTCCTCGCACTTCCTGGCGTAGTCCTCCTCGGGGCGGCCGGCGGCGGGCTGGCCCGGCTCCCGGCCCGCCTCGGGCTCGCCCGTGCCCACCAGGTAGGTGTCCTGCACGTAGTTGACGCCGTGCCGCTTCATGCGGTCCAGGTGGATCTTGGCCTCGTACCTGTCGATCTCACGGTCCAGCTCGCGGAGCCGCTGGATCTGCTGTCGGATGGTGTGGTCCTGCGAGAGCACCAGGTGCACCAGCGTCTCCATCCTCTCCGCCGACGAGGCCTCCCGGGCCAGCGGCTGCTGCCGCTTCTTGTTGATCTTGGCCAGTTTGCGGAAGGCTTTCCGCACCACCCGCCGCTGCCGCTCCTGCGTGAGCGCCAGGCTGGCGCGGGCCGCCCCCAGGCCGCGGCCGGGGCGCTCCTTGCTCAGCACCACCCGCGCCTCGGCGCTGCGCGGCCCGGCGTTGGGCAGCGAAGCCTCGCTGCGCACCAGCACGAAGCGCACGTTCTCCTGCTCGTCCCCCCACGCCACCCAGAGCCGCAGGATCTTCGTCTTGTTGGGCAGGATCCTCTCGAAGCCGCGCCACTTCTCCACGATGCAGTAGGAGTGCGGCGGCCCCGACAGCATCCCGCCGGCGGGCTCGGGCGGCGCCGGGCGCTGCCGCCGGTGGTGGCTGTCCTCCAGCAGCACCCGCACCACGTCCGAGCAGGTGGTCCGCCGGGAGAGCCCGGAGATCAGCTTCTCCTCCTGGCAGATCCACACCGAGATCTTCCGCTCCTCGGGCTCCATCGGGGGCGGCTGCGGGCGGGCGGCCGGGGCCGCGGGCTCAGCGCTGGCCGGGCAGCCGCTCCATGGGGCGCGCTCGGCGGAGGCGCGGCGCTGCCCGTCCGCCCGGCTCGCAGCGGCCGGGATGCCTTGCCGTCCCCTCCCCGCCCGCGGCACCCCGCCCGTGCGCTCCGCCGGCCGCTCCACCCCTTCCTGCCCGGTGCGGCGGGGCCGCCGGGGGCGGGGGGGCCCGGCCCGGTGCCCCGGGAGCCGCCGCGGTCCCCCCGGGATTCGCTGTCCCCGCGTGGGCGCCCCGCGGCTCACGGCCCGCGGCCCGCGCAGAGATCCGCCGGCGCGGACACTTCGGGGCAGGTCGCCGTCGCCTCCGTGTTCTCCCTCCTTCTCCGTGGCCTGCCTGTGCCGCGAACGAGCGAGCGAGCGAGCGAGCGAGCGAGCGGCGTCGGGGACCTTCCAAAGTGCCGAGGGACAAGAGCGAATCCTGGAGCTTCAAAGGGAAAGCCAGAACTAGTGAGGAATTTCCAGTTTTAGTAAATCATCCGCCTGTAATTAGGAAATTCATGTTTGTGAAGCACTTTGCAGATGAAATATGCAAAGGACGGGAATGTCTCTAAGTGTTATTAAAATACTAGCTGAGCCAGATTTTAATGGGAGCTTGCTGTGTACTTTGATGGGAACGGGATCGCTCTCGGAGTGCCGATTAAAATTAGAAGATGGGAAAAATAGTAATAAAAGGCAGGCTTATAGCACTGATTTTCACTGATTGCATCACAGGGTTCACGGACTTAGGCTTTTCTAAGTGATTAAAAAAGTACTACAATGGGCAAAGAAAGAAAACTGTCTCAAACCTGAAGGCTGATCTGTACCTTCCGAGGGAGTTTCAGAGCCAATAAAATCGGTGTGCTGTGTGGAGAAGGTTTTTGCCTGGACAAGGTTTGTGTTCCAGTCAGTGGAACAGAACGGAGTCCTGGCATTGCAGCCTAACTCCTGTCATTCTGCTGTTAGAAACAGAGGAGCTGGGGCGCACCAAACAGCGAGGCAGCAGTTATGTAGCCTAATGTCCTCTTTTCCCCTAAAGTAACAGGCTCGCTGTGGGCAGTGCCTGTACTGCCACGGAAGGACCAGTCCGGGGGAAGGAATGCTGCCCCTGCCCTGGCTGCATCATTCAGCTAATTGCGGTGCTGAGGTGTGACGTGCAGCCTCCTGTCCCCAAGGAAGTGGGCTGAGGGACCACCGACTGCCAGCATTCCTGCAGCTGCAGATCCCAGGGATCCTGCCCTGCTGCCAGCGTCCCTTTCCTGTACTGCTGCCGGTCACAGGATCCCAAACCGAGCTGGCCGCTGCGTGTTGCAATGAGGGCACGTGAGATAGGGGTGATGGTAACAGGCTGGATTTGCTTCCTGACCACAGCCACCTTGCCTTAAAGCTGCATATTCCTGTCCAACGGCAAAGCCTGGCACTGCCAGTTCCAAGGGCAAGGTGTTTTGCTGTCAGGATGTGTCAGAAGTGCTGGATGGCTGTGCTTTGTGCAGAGCAAAGTGTTTGCTGATGGCAGGGTATTGCCAAGGTGTGCAGGTTTTGTGTTCAGTGGCTTGGTTATGGCTAAAAGCATCGTCCCATCTGGGTCAGAGGAAGGTGGGTCCAGCAGTGGCAGTCCTGTAAGAGAACAAAATGACCTTAACAAGGCGGTGGTCAGGACTCTGGGACACCCCTGACAGCTCACACTGCAGGAAGGGGATGTGAAACAGGACACTGTCATTCAGCTTTGACTCTGGGAGGTTCAAAATTTTTAAAAACCCTTCAGGAGAGTAGGAGAAGAAGCCTTGTTGCTTTCATCAGGCTGGTAGAAAGTTGGAAGAACAGACCATTCCTTGTTGTCTTCTGAAGATTCAGGTGCAGCAAAGGGATTTGTGAGGCAGTGAGAAACTGTCCAACTCCTTTACCGGTGGTTCCTTGCCTTTCCCATTTAGTTTTGATCTTATTTTACATGTGTTTTCTATGAGAATGTCTTTGTACCTATTTTCTTTTGGCAAAGAACAGTACAGGAAGAGCAGGTTGTGATGTGAAGAGGCATCTTATGCTCCCCACAGGTCAAGCTGCTCCAACTTGTCTGACTGCCTGTGTCTATCCGGTATCCAAGCCTGGCTTTGTGCAATGAAATTGCCAGATGATCATTCCATCTTTCCATGACCACATCTCTGTGGATGGAAAGCTGGCTCTGCCTCCCCAGTGAAGCCCCCAAGGCAGCATTGCCAGAGAGAGGATGAAGATGTTGGTGGTTTGGTTGGAAGCAGCACAGTACAATTAAGATTAAGAAGGCAAACATTTGATTTTGGTAGGATATACCTGTTAGATGTGTGTGTGTGTGTGTGTGTGTGTGTGTGTGTGTGTGTGTATAGTCCACGGTTAAAAAGATGGCATTCAAAATTCTCGTTGCTGCATCTCATGTTTGACCCTCAGGAATCTGGGTTTAGTCTGTCTGCAAACTCAGGGAACTGCTGGCAAAGCTTCAAAAGTTTGTAGTGCTGTATCTGAAGCAAAGTTTGGGCCCTGTTGTGCTGAATCCCAAAAGGCAACTGAAGGCAGGCAACCTTTTGCCTTTCTTCCCAGGATCCTAAAGCATCCTGCAGAGGAAGGTGGAGCTCTTATCTCATTTTAAATATAAGAATGCTCTGGCATGAAGGAATCGAGAGCCTTGCCTAAGGTTGTACAGCAAGGCAGTGAAGCAAATCAGGTTCCTTCACTCTGCACCATTAGGCACTGAACTCCATCCTCTCCTCTTCTCCTCCATCAGAAAGGGAGGTGAGGAGGAATATATTAGTTCAACGGCTACAGATGGTGACAGAACCAAAGTGCAAGCTCAGCAGACAGTATTTCCCTCTGGTGAGGCAATGGGAGAAGGTGGCACACGAACTCCTTCAAACATCTCCTCCCTGGTGGAGGCAAATCTCCTCCAGCTGACTGTGCCTGCAGACCAGCACCACTCAACAGCACCATTGGAATGGCAAAATGAGGAGAAGGACTGCTGCTCTCCTCTCCACTCCCTTCCCCACAGAGCAGTGATGCATGAGGTCTTCTACAGCTTCTGCAACAAGCATAGCACATCATTAAAATTTAAAATGTAGTAGCTGTGGCCTCCTGAAATGCAGAGGCTGTTTCTGTGCTGCCTTATCAATGCACAGCTGACAGCTCTTTTTCAGAAGCACAAACTTCCTTGGCAGAATGCTATCCAGAACTTCATTCATGGCCTGTATGTTTTTGGAAAAATTGCAAAAATTCAAAGTTGATGATACTCTTAAGAGCTGCCTAAGCCCCAAAAGAAGATTTTTGAGCTTAATATTTTAGGCTGTATTGAAAAGTTCAAGTCCAGGTATAGACTAGTTTATTTTTATGAACTACAGGAGATTTCCAAGGCCAAGGGATGAGAAATCAGATATATTTTGGCATTTCACGTGACATTCTTTCTATTCTTTCCTTTTCATTGAGGTGTGCAATTAACTTACCAAATATGTTGTGATAAGAACGGCATTCCTATTAGGGGGTTGGATGGTGAGGTGTCTGTTTCTGGTTTGTTGGCTTTTTTTTTTTTTTTTACTTTGACCTGAACTATCACAATGAAATTGCAGCCCTGATTTTTTTTTTTTAATAAACAAAATTATACAAGACCTTATCTTTAATTCTTTGAAACTAAACCAAATAAATACAAATGTACTTTCTGCTTCCATAAATCATATAGCAGGAATGAGGAGGAAGTCTTAGAACCCTCTATTTCAGACACAGAATTAATTTCTTTTAAATGTTTTTAAATGGAGAAAGGCTACCGAGTCACATTCAGGGTATTTTTTCTTTTTTTCCACAGTGAAGTTGCTTTTATTTTTTAGATCACTCTCAGGACAATTTACTTATTTTTCCTGAGGTTACAGTTCAAAAGAATACAGCCTAGGTGGATGAGCAAAGGCAGGCTGGAACTGGTAATCTTTTGAGCCATCACTGTCTGGAGAAGCTGCTCTTTGTTGTGATGCTGAGCAGCCACGCTGCTTTCCCACTCCTCTTCCTCTGTTCCTGTTCATCTCATTTTGGGAGCTTATCTCTTTTATTTGTTGCTCTCCAACACTTTGCCTCAACAAACATGGATGGAGTCCTGGGACAGAATCTGACTGGGAGTGTTACAAGCTTCTGCAGTGGCTGCTGGCCTTTACAGAACAGGGAAGGGGCTGCTTCAGCTTGCAGGTCACTCTCTCACGGGTGCTTTTCTCTTTTGTACCCAGTTTTTCCTGATGGTATAAAGCTGAATAACCAAATCATGCTGTGAATAACCAAATCATCCCTGGTTAGCATGCACAGAATGAAACACTTGAAAAACTACCCCTGTGTTAGCAGCAGTATGCAGACTCCAGTCAAAGCAGTTGGTAAGCTCAGACTTTGACTTGGAAGAAAATTGTTCAGTTTGTATCTGAGCAGCTTTAGACCAGAGAGGGATTTTTACTTTCACGTGTTCTGCTGAAGACAATGAAGGAATTGCCACTTCTGTTAAAGATGACTCGTAAGAAGTGTAATGAACACCTGAAGAGCTTCTTCAATAAGCAATAAGCTCTGTGACCTCTTGACCTGTTTCCTTCAGTTCCTGGCAGCTGAAGGGCGCTGTCCTGCTTCTGAATTCCACCTGTGCAACCAGTACAGGTGACACATCTGGAAATCTGGAGTCATTCCTTGCCTCACATGGCTGGTGGTACCTCCATCCTCTTGGGAGATCCTTTTGGGAAGACTGTGGTGTGGCCCTTTTGCATAATGGCAGCTGATACTGGGTTATATTGCTTTGACTGCTTCGTCCAACGTCTTCTTTTTTCATGTGCACACACCCAGAGTACAAACAGGTATGTCAGAAGGAAACTATCTCCAGTGAAATCAGTGGGGGCTGGCTGCATGGGTAAATCCCTCTGCAGTGCTTTCAAAGGGCAGGTATGTCTATAGACTGCCATTAAAGAAAATTGTCAAGACATATATTT